TAGGGGGGGGGGTCACTATTTTTGAGAACGGTTGAAGGGGTGGGTCATCGAAAGTTAAGTGCAATCATAAGGGTGGGCAATGTAAAAATATGCAGAAATTTTTTCAAGGGCACGTGTATTAAAATTCATATTATAAAAATAGAAACAAAACGTATCAGGATCCATGTGTTACAGTTGACCTCAAACTTAAAAGCTGGATTTACTGTCTTGACTAATACGTTAGTAGTGGCTAACTAATTTTCTGATAATCATTATTGCTAAATGTCACGAGCTTGTGTAGGATGTTTATTATGTAGCAAAATTAGTGTAATTTCTACAAGAGCGTAGATAAATCACAATCATCGTTAGCGGTTTGGCGTTAGCTGTAAATGTCAAACTAAAGGTCTCTAATTATGAGAAAGATACTGCATAATGCAGTATGCATGGGAAGTTCTATGCAAAGAAAGACTTTCTGTAATTAATTCAGGTCCATTCTCGTACCCAGAGCCCTTCTTACGCGCGGTGCGACGAGGGGCTCTGGCCAAATCCATATTCCGAACTGGCATCTGATTGGCTAGTTCTAACACCGGACATTGTTTTCTTACCATGTTTTTATGGTATCCGGTTATGGATCTGGCCAGAGCCCCTCGTCGCACCGCGCGTAAGAAGGGCTCTGGGTACGAGAATGATTCAGGTCCTCTTTTAGCATATAGACTGGGGAGGACATGTCTCCCCACAGCCCTCTTACTGGTCCCTCCAGTCGGCAATTTTGCCCCCCCCCCCCAGTGAGGGCCCTAAGAACTACCTGCAGTAGGTGGTCATCCAGCAAATACGTATCAAAGTGGGAAAACGATGTTAAGTTGTTAACATTGCCGTGGTAAAACAAGCGACATTTCTATGAGCCCACCGAGTCAGTTGACTCGGTAGGCCATAGCCTGCGAACAGGCTCTCAAGCTGAATTGAGAGCCTGCATCGATGACTAATGAATTTGAATATCTGCCCCGTAACGTTCGTTTTTCCAAATATGGAATGTCTATCCTTATATGGTGTTGTTTACAACTCTCGTGCAAACTAAATTTAGACCGTGCAAACTAAATTTAGACCGTATAGTTTATACTGTTTTTCGAAATATAAAATTCTCAAATCAGAACATTTCGTGCTTTGAGATGGCCAAAACCAATTTGAATTATTTGATCATTTAATGTGTTTTTTATGCAAAGTGCTTCAGTTGACATATATAGAGCTCAGCGGAAACATATAAATTATAGCATCTGACCAATGAGAATTTCGCGTCACGATTTGAGACGCAGATATTCAAATTCATTAGTCATCGATGCAGGCTCTCAATTCAGCTTGAGAGCCTGTTCGCAGGCTAGGTAGGCCAGAATTTGGGGATTGAAATTTAAACATCGCCAGAAACCTAAACCATGTCTGAAATAATTTGCTCGTGGAACAAGGCATGAAATGGTATTTTAGGACGAAATTTTAATTTAGTTTTTCCAAGCAAAGATACTCCAAAGGGACCACTGCTCTTCAGTGACACTGAGAAGACGAATGCGTCGATTTCAAGCACCCCAATACATGTAATACAGTACAGTAGAATTTGAAGTGTGGTGAATGATAATACTATACCACACACATTTTAATTACGCATCATCACACCATGTTGCCTTATTGGGACTGGATTACATTTGGGAGACTGTGAAATTGCAGTGATTGTGTCACTGTTGGAAAACTCAAAATGCGGGAAATAGCTTATCCGAGCTTCAATAAATCCAAAATGTTGTGCGGGGTATGCCCCCAGACCCCTCTAGAAGCTCGCACCTTGGGTGGTCGACTCGGTTGCCTCAGAATCCTAGTTACGGCCTGATCTGCTGCCCTATGATGTATACTTATTAGTTAAACCATGCATATATAGACTATATATGCTGGTAGCTGCAGTGATACAGAGTTGCCGACTGAAACTTCTCCAGGTCCCCCGCTAAATATGTCCTTAAACATCCTTAATTAAAAGAGGTTCTGAATTTTAATTGCACCATTTGAATAGCTATTGAGTATTGTAAAACAGAATTATTTGGCAACAGAAAAATAGAACGCTGGTATCTTTCGCATTTCTGAAAGGGTGGGTCATAATTTTTCAGCACCAATTTAAGGGTGGGCCACAAATTTTCGTGCAGCTATTATAAGGGGTGGGCTACCAAATGTGCAGACACCAAATATATATATATATATATATATATATATATATATATATATGATTTTCCCAGCCCCCCCCCC